CTGCTGAGCATGTCAGTGAGGCCTGGTGTTCAGATCCATCTGAGCTGCTGCCTCTGTTCATCTCACAGGTTATGATAGGCTTAGGCACCCTGTCTAGAGGAATGATGAAAAATAGTAATGAAAAACATGATTGGAAATAAAAACAGCACAACGTAAACTATCTTCATACAAAAAACACTAATACATTCATACTTCATAGATGATTAAAAAAGATTTTTTTTTAAATAAATAAAGAAAACAAATAACTGGATACAATAAAAAAGGAAAATATGAGACATTTTCGAGATTTTCATCTGGATAATAAAATAAAATAAAAAATCGGAATAGTTTCTACCTTGATATGTAAAGTAAGTGTAAGCATGCCAGCTGTTTAACCAGATCATGGCACTGTTTAGTGAGGATCAAAGTCTACCACAGGGACACACTCTGAGAAATATATCATATCATTATCTCTAATTTGAAGTGCTGAAATAAATGTGTTATTACAGTACAAACAAATAAAACAAATCTACCATTTGCTTTTCTTCGGCCCTTTAAAGTAAAGCTATGCAGCAGCTGGCCAACAGATCAGCTGTAGTAAGGTGGAATCTTTGCAAAACCTGTTTAGAATTTTGGTTCCTGCAGAAACTCTGAGAATCTGTCCAGATCCAACAGGGTTGAGTCAAACGTCTCGTCTCCAAGGGACTGTGCAACCTAATAATTCACAGCTGCGGTTGAACATCTGTTTTCAGTTGATTGAGAGCTTCCAAAAAGTCTCCACTACAGGTTTCGTTCACATTCTGTAACCTCAAGTTTAAAAATTTGGCCACCTTCATCTTGATTTACAAAACTCAAGAGGTGGATATTTCTGAGAAGAGCAGAAATGACAAATCCGGTTTGGATGGAGGACCAGCAAGCGTAAATTAGCCTCAGCTCAACTTCTTTTTCATACAACCATAAGTTTCTATTATATGCAAATTTAAACAAGAGACAAGAACTGACACTTACTAATTCTAACATTTTAAGTTAAATGGTTGGACAGTTTTGGATATCTTTAAACGTTATTCTACCAATGATTTATGATTTAAACTTAAAAACTTTATTTGCTATCAGCAGTGCACACTTAAATGAATCACTTTGCATCTCCGAGCATTTTTTTGTACTGAAAATGTCAGTCTTGGTATTCATTAAAAAAAAAGAACAACTTACCAATGACTTCTATTTTATAAGATGTGCGACTCAATTCTTTATTTCTGAATACTTCCAGTTCATAAAGTCCGCTGTCCTCAAATGTGAGATGCTCTATTCTCAGATCTGCAGAGTGCCAGTCAAGAGTGACCCTGTTGCCATAGGAACCGTATGGCTGTTGCTGGCTTCCATCAAACTCCACCACTTTGTCACCGTCATGCTTCCACAGAATTTCATCTGGGAGGGTTGTGATGCCTGTTTTCAACTCGATGCTCTCCCTCACCAGGGCATATTTTGGAGTCTGTCCAGCAACTACATACAAGGATTCAAAAAGCAGAGAAATGAGTGAAAAAATTAGTAAAAGAAAATTCAGTAAATTGGCCCCAACTTAAGATTCACAGATAGATACAAATGATTCAAAATAAAACATCAAAATTGAGTGACAATGGTTATCTGACATTTAAGGCAAAATCAGTTCTCAATCTAATAAAGTGGAAAAAAGCTCATGACCACTTTAGCCTTTGATACAAAGAAGAAAAAAGACCTATTGACTCCTACTCATCTCTGCTTCCACAATTTAATAGCTTCTAAGCTTCTGCAGAACTTATATCAGATGAGTTTATTATGAGGCTGTAAATAAGTAGCAGCGTAGCTTGATGATTGTGTCTGAACATTGTCCTGTAGGAAAGTCATGGTCTGATAGATGCTGCAGACTTCTTTCTGGAACATTAAAAGAATAAACCATCGTCTAAAAAAATCAATAAGAAAACTTTTGAACTCTTTCATCTGCATTTTGTGGCTGTAATTGACTCTTGACGATAGAATCTTGCTCAGCATGGAAATGTTTTTGCGTTTTGGTGCATTGCACCCGATTCTTCTGGTAGGCTGCAATTCCAGTATTTCTCCGGTTTTATGAGAGTTGACTTTTACATTTATCCGCCTCTATTAAAAGATTTGGATTGAATAACAAGGTTTGTCGTGCATATTCATTTTAGTCATTTCAAGAATACTCTGAATGATCTTACTGAAAAGCACCACATCTCCAAATGAATATAATCTATATATATTCATATTTATGCAAGTTAGAGATATTAGATAAGCAATTCTCAAATATCTGTGTAGAGGCATTATGGACTATGTCAGAGTGGCAGTATTGTAATCACTGACAGCAGCTGTAACTATAAAACCATCTATAATGAATTAATAATAAGGTATTATATGATATGTATGCACGTGTGTGATCTGCAAAAGACAGACAACAGCAGATGTCCTTCTGTGCACATGAGCGGACAACATGACAAAGACCAAGGACATGACTTGCAGCTTTTTCCAGCAGGACAGCCTCGTCTTTATTCCTCCAAAACACCCGGGACCAAACCAGCAGTGTCCCGTTGGACCAAACTAGGAAATGCAGGTGAAAACTAAAGACAGGATGTAAACCTACAGGTAAAGGGGTCACTAAGCCACAAATCTCTAAAGTTCATGACAGGGCTGTAGTTTATTTGTGCATGTTTGGGGTCTCTTGACCTGGTCTTATCTTAATGGGACCCTACAAGGACGTCTGTGTGTCCTCTCTCAGTACTGAATGCACACAAACCGATTTAAAACTTTAGAAACTCACCTATGCTGGAGGTAACCACCCACCAAATGGCGAGGTATCCATATTCCATTTTAGTTTGGTTTTCTTTTTGTTCTAGTTTTAGAGAAGGCGTCTCGTCGCTGGTGCATTGAAAGTACTTTCGCTTTTTCAGGTCGCTCCTCTCCGGACTCAGAACCTGCCGGGGACAAAGGTCACAAGCTCCCCCGTTCGCCCCTTTACACGCTTGGACTCGTTTCCTACTAATATACTGACAATACGCTGAGAAATATCCTAAAAATGTAAAAGGAAAACACTGGCAACATGTAAATCTTTCGTGGAAAGTTGATGCGTCAAATGCTCTGCTATCTCAGGTGTTGCCTCTCACCTGAGCTTCCGCTTACCTGCGTTTCAAACTAAAAGCCCATCCTCGCCAGGGTTTAATGGTGAATATGACAGAAACGGTGTGTTTATGTCCCATTGCCTTAAGTTTGGTTTAATTTGAAATAACGGCCGGATGCATAAGCTATGTGGTCCAGTTAAATTCCAGACAGGTAGAACTGGGCTTTCTGGGCACAAGGAATGCGTGGTGGTTTCGGTGCATTTCGAAGATAAGGTTTGCGCACACAGATGTTGTCTGTAAACATAGAATTTCGAAAATGCATGGATGGAAAAAGTTTTCCATAGCAGGAAGTACCTCCATTTTCTTTTGTTAAGAACTCATGTTATGGAGTGGATGTTTTCAGCACTTATTCTACTCGATAACAGTGTGTGCACAAAGACAAGCATCTGTCTGAAATGGGGGCATTCTCAGTGGTTATGTGTAAAAAAAGCCAGTTTAAGAATAGGTTGACAATTAACATAGTAATTTATCATGCCAGAAAAAGACTACATAATAATTGTTTAGCGATGTCAAGGTCTATAAAATGATTTTATGATTCGGTATGTTTAACAATGTTAGTTTTATTTTCCCTTCAGTTAGGAATGTTGGGAGAAAGAGAGAAAACAAACAAACAATGAAAATCTTTTTTTTTTTATTTAACAAAAGTTAGAGTTCAGTAAAACATAAAATGTTTTAAAAGTTCTTTGTGCTTCAACTGGAACAAACAAGGCAACTAAACTGAGCATATGGGTACAATTACCCTGCAACATTTAACCGCCAACCCCAGCAACATTAGTCCAGTTAGCAGAGGCCTGTGTCACTGGCACTCTGATGGAGGAGTAATTTTGTGTATGTGTGTGTAGGACTTCATGAGTGTCACGCTGCCATGGTGCGACACTCCCATAGGTAGTACACACTCCTCTGTCAACAGCCCTTGAGCAACATCCCAGCACATCACTGTGGAGATGACTTGGTTCTTGTTGTCCCTTCCTCCCGTGATGAAAAGTTTGTTGTTGCAGGCGGCGATGGCACAGCTTGCCCTCTCCCCCAGACGGGTCACAAGGGACCAGGAGTCAGCCAAAGGGGAGTAGCAGTACATGGCATGCATGGCGCCACCTAGACATTTTGACAGTATCCATATTAATGTATAGCAGTTTTTCTTTTGCACACAATCCCCCAAACATAAATGACCGTTTTTTGACTGTTGTGAGTTCAGTTAACTAGCTGGAAAATCAGAAAACTAAAAAATACAAAAAAACATTTATATTCCAAAATGAGAACAGGTTTTTTTCTATTTCCCGGTAACATGTCTATTACGTTAAATGATTTTTAAATGAATGGTTTTGCAGACAACTCCTCCAACTTACCAACTACATAGATGCAGTTCTTGAACGTAACCGCATTTGTGCATTTAGTTTCAATGGGAATTGGTGCCCGGAATTCCCAGCCTTCTGATCCTGGTTGCCAGCATTGAACCTGATCTGTGGCTAGCTTTCCGTTAGGGCCCCCGCCAATCACATAGATCCATTTGTCAAAGCTTGTTGCTGCGAATGAGCTAACACCCAGCGCGAGAGGTGTCACCTGCAGGAAATACAGCAAAAGGGCTTGTGAGTAAAAAATCACCCTATCAGAAGATTAAAGGGACAACACATATCATTTAAACAAAATATGCATATTTAGAAAATCTATTGTTGTGTTAATAGAGCATTAAGATGCAAACACAACTACCTGAGTCCAACGATTATGAAAAGGATCATATGACTCTACACTAGCATGTCTCTGTACTCCATCAAATCCTCCAAGCACGTACACCTTCCCACTATGAACCGCCATCTTGTGTCTCCACCGTCCGGTTGACAGGGACTCGATTTGGATCCACTTGTCCAGGGCGCCATTATATTTCCAAACATCATGCTGTGTCTCTTTGCCCCCTACAATCAACAGGAGTGTTTAACAATCACACTTTCCAGAAAGGTTTTTTTTAGCAGTCAGATGTCACAAAGGCTGTAATAATAACGAGGCTGGTGCCCCGTGCAGGAACACAGAGCCATCAGTCTGAGTAAGCACGTTAATTCCCATGACTTCATCTCAACTCTTGCAGTGCACATGCTCTGGAGTATCAGCAGCAACCAGAGATGAAACTGTTATTTCCTTAGATGGGAAACACCTAAAACCACAAGTAACTGTAGTGCAGACGATGCCACATCTTCCTGTTGTTTTTGCTCACTTATTTACGCTAGATTTATCAATGCAAACATTATATTTGAATGTCAGTCAAGCTAAGAAACATGAAAATAATGTCTCTAAAACCGCCTTTACTGATGCAGAGATATTGAATCTTTAATGAAGGAAACACATAGAAACCAGATTTCCTTTCTCCTACACCACAGAAAGTCAGCTCTACGTGTTGCATAGCTTTCTATGTAAACATATATTTGTTTCCTCACCAGATATGTACACTTCATTATGGAAAGTGATACAAGCAAACTCCACCCATTTTCTGTTTTGGGTCTCGTCCTCCATCTCTGTCATTGGCAGCCGGGCAACTTCCAGCCGGCTGCGTCTCAGAGGGTCCAAACAGGTGACGGTAGAAACAAAGCGTTCATCTTTAGTGCAGCCTCCGATAATCAAGAACACCTCTGACAGAAAGAACTGCTCACGGGGTTTGGTTCGTTCTGAGACCACCTGCAAAAGCATGGGAGGACGGGAAATATTACGTAGGGCTTGGCAACAAAACACGGAATCACGCAAAAACACTGTCTAACTTTTCTCGTCCCGCTTCTGGGTGTTCCCGGGAATACTGACCTCCCTGCCTGAGAGGTGGTAGAGCCGGGCCTCCTGCAGCAGAGGAAAGGCCTCAGCGCAGCCACGGATCAGCTCATCTGACTCCACTTTCTCCACAAAGTACGCCGGCTCCAACAAAGGGAGCCTCACACGGGAAAGCAACCTGGCCAGTGATGGATAGCGCTCATCCTGCCGGGCCCTCACCCAGCACATCAGCGCTTCGAACACACACTCCTCAAACTTCGCGTCGAGGTCGTCCCTCTGCAAGATGGCCTCCAGAGACTCTGCTGGCAGCTCCAAGAAGTCCTGCTGCGTGACCACCTGAGAGAACTGAGCGCTGATGTAGTCCTGAGCCTTGGTCTTCAGGGCTGGCAGGGCGTGGCTGTCAGCCAGGTTCAGGATCCCAACGCAGGTGTCCAGTTGCATAGACTTGCTCAGAAATCCAGTACATGCATCTACCACACGCAGGAACTAACAAAGAGCCCAAAAAGAGAAATAAGGTAATGAATAAGTGTCACTCTTTATTGGAACAGATGCTAACCATTTAAAAAATAAATTAAAAGAAATTGAACAATACAGCATTCGTTTCCAAATGAAACTCCAGTTCATGGACCTGTGCATGTCTGAGCTGCTTTACTAAGTTTTTTTTATTTATTTAGATATTTGAAATGTTTTTTCCATTCTAGATTTCTTTTTATAACTTTAGCCGCATAACAGCTAAGGTCCTGTTATGAATCATTTTCCATTTCCAAATTGCGCCTTCACGGCCATACCACATCCTCTAAGTCATCACCAAAACGCACTGTCTGTTAAAATGTTTAGTGGAAACCAGATGCCCCCTCTCCTCTTTTGCCCGGCACATGATGCACCCACGATTTAAGGGCTGACTGATGAGACCATGGCCGTTTTCAGCTTCTCAGCCATCTTGAGAGAGCTGAAGCGAAGAGAGCATAGCCCTTTCCACTAGAGAGCTGCGTCATTTTTAAATAGAAACATTTTAATTATCATCATAATCTTTTATAATATTCAGTGAATGTAGTTACTTAATTTTACTATCTTTTTTTCCTTTTGTTGTTATCACGTTTTTATGTGATGTTGGCTGATATATATATTTTTTTAATTATAAGAACCTTTTGTTTGTCAAACTCATTCCAATAACTCTTAAGAGAACAAGGAGATTAAACAATAGAATGACCACAACTGTGGTTGTAAAGATCTGGAAAATGTTTAATTAGTGCTGAAGCCGGACTTTTGACAAAAAGACTGACTATGTTGGATTGTATGAAAAGGTGAGTGTGTATGTATATGTTTTTTAAACTTATTTTCTTTGATAGTTACAAGTAAGCCTTTTTCTAAAAGATCGTATTGGGGAAGAACCAACCAGAATGTTTTATATCTGATCTAAAGTTCAGAACCAAACAAAAAAGTGAAAAACAAAGAAAAAAGAGAGAAGCATAAGAAAACTAACAGCTGCCTCCTCTGCTGTGTGACACAGCTGTGGGGTTAATTTAAGCTTGTGTGGAAAACTGATCCAGAGTGTAAACAACTGGCCAACTTTCACTTCCTCCTGAGAGCAACTGATCGCTAACTCGAGGATGCACTTATTCCTTTAAACAGTTAAACACTGTGAGAAGTGAAAAACATAATCAAACAATGGGAAGACCAATAATCCAGTTATATAAGTGGGTTTTCCTTATTAAATGTTCAAGAATTAGAGAGCATTTAATAAGCCAGTTTCATATTTAATCATTTTAACACCATGACAAAGACAGATTGCCTCAAAATAGCATGTTCTAAATGGGTTAAATGTGAGTTAGTTATTCCCTTTTCTTTTACTGAAACATAAGTAATCTACTCAAAAGGTCTATGTGCGCTTTGTCTCTATACACAGAGACGTATATATCCTTAGGCAGTTAACCATTTTCAAGAAAGGCAACATATTTACACATAAAAATGATATTACCTTCTTACGTTCAAACTCTTATTTCTAGAATTTTCACAGATTGTTATGTTAGCTTGTAATAACAAAAATTATAGATTCAACTCGATAGTTGATAAGAACCGTTAGCAAACCTTTTTCAACACTATGCAGTTTTAAGAGCTTCACCTGAAACTGACAGGCGGCCTCGAGTATCCTCTGGACATTTGAGTGGGTGAGGAGGGCCTTGCTGGTGTATGTGTACTCCAGCAGAGAGCTCATCGTTCCGCTGTCAACCCCTTTCATTTCCACACAGTCCTCGTGGCTCTCCTTGAGACCGCTGCAAAACATGGCCCTGCACAGAAGGGGAGTTTTAAAGCAAAACTCCTATGCCAACAGAGAGACTCAATGCAGGGTTATTTTTACCGAAAATATTGACTGGCAGCAGCAAGAATGGCTCTGTGGCAGGCAAAGTTGTGTCCTTGAACACACAGCGTCACGTCAGTCAGCTCTTTGTTGACTCGCAGGCTCTCCATCCCTCTCTGAAGCTCCACTGGTAGTCCTCCATCTTGCCAGCATACTTCACTCGCTTCTGGTACATCCTCTTTATCCTCTGGACAGGGCTCCTCTCCGAGCGTTGCTAGAGGGCATTCTGTTGTCCTCTCCAGTGAGTCACTCATCTTTTTACGCTAAAAACTGTCCAGGCACTCAGCATGCAGCTGGGTTAGAAGCACCTGCACCGGTAAAGAGAGACAAAGCAAATCTTTGTGGTTGACAGCACTGCACTCACTGTGAGAGGGGGATTTGTTTTTTTTCCTGTTCTCTTCATACTTCCTATTCCTGTTGTGTGAGGAACATGCGTATGTTGCAAAGTCTGTCTCTTGAACACTTCCTCTTTGCATGCTGAGTAAATTTCCCCTTAAGTTACTTAATTCTCCTCGTCTCCCCGAAACACAGATATCAAGTATTCCAGAGATGACCTAACATCAAGGGGGAAAACTGCAACTGAAGGCTCTCGGCAGGCTAACTTGTTCGAAATGGATTTGTTTGAATGCATGACGCTTGCTCTAAAGTTCTTATGAACTTCTCTGTTTTTTGGCTGTCTTTCATCACTCCATCATGGTGACATCTGAATGGGATAGAGGTCATGATAGCTGCTCAAGCTGAGCTCGTAAGCAGGAGGCAACCTGTTTATTCCTGTACATGCAGATATTCAAGATGAACTACGTGCTCTACGTTTGTCACCATATTTGAAGTGCGCAAAATACACACTCATCTTACGTCTGCCATTCTGGCCTGATAACATTCAGAGTGGTGTGCACAAGAGCAGAAGGTAATAAGCAAAATAATTATCAAGGATGGCTTTGTTTAACTGTGATAGGCCACTTTTATCAAGAAGAGTTTAAATGGTGGGTAAAACATTGGAAAAAAGCAACGAAAAATTCATTAAGCTTAACTTTCTTCGCAGTTGTACATAACAGACAGCATTTATTTGCTGACTGCTTCTTTTTGAATAAATATATATACTTTCAAATGTAATTTAATTTAATATTAAGCCAACATATCGATTGTTTTTCTTGTCAACTTAATTTATTAAATTGACATAAACACAAGCATGAGGTAAACTTTCTTCTTTACCCAGCCAAGAATAAAGTTGATGAACTAGTTCTTCTTCATCCTGTGAATATCAATTTGCATTGTTTGTCTGTAATTTCACAAATCAATCATAGTAGAAAACGTGCTGTTTTCTTGTTTGATTTGATCAAAACAATCATTTTCCTCACCTCTGTGACAGCTTCTTTTCAGAATGTCCAGATTTCCTCATCTCTTCTCCTATCTGAACATTTAATCTGATATCCCTGGAACAGAAAAACCGTTAAACGGGAGTGGAACAAACACAGATATAAAAGCCATGTCTTATATTTCAAACGCATGAAATTCACCGTAGGCTTGAACGTTCATCTGAAAATGGGATCTTGAGGTTTGGACACCGGATTGCAGTCTTGATACTCTCCTCTAGGTGGTGCTGTTGTCCCACCTCACAGGCCGGGCCTCAGTCACTATGGAGAAAGCGGACACAACCACGCTGTTTCCTAGCAACGCACTTCTAAGGCAGACAATTTACCTTTTAAAAATATATGGTTTATTCGTTTGGAACCACCACCAAATGGGTCAATGATTAAACGAATCCCTACACACAGGAAGTTGCGTAACATGGCTTTATTCTACTCACTGTAGGCGGGTGGCGTGAGAACGACGCTGTTTTTTCACGGGGTGTTTGCACAGAGGAGCGTTGAATAAAAAATTCTGTTCATGGTGGGAAATGAGGGTGTTTTAGGTCAGTTGATCTGTATCACTGACTGTGGGCAGCAGATGTCGCGTTAACCGGGTCCTGTTTGTCACTTTGACCGCACTTTATCTCACATCCTCCCAAAAAAAGCGCGTCAAGACAGACTAAGACTCAAACAAAAAAACAACACAAAACTTTCCACGTTGTTCACGTGTGCCACCTCCATTTGATTATTTATTTATTTGGATTCTAAACTCCGCCCGCGCGCGCACATATTTTAGAAACAAAACTGACAAGTGAGGTCAGTGGAGGCAGGAAATGTTGCAGACTTCCTCTTACGAAGTGCGTGGAAATCAGAAACCACTTGAAACAGTCTCAAAAGGCACCAACACGGGCTGAAGCGACATGCTGAGAACACTGTGTGAAGAACCAAACTCAAGATGAGGTGCCCCCTGCGCTGCGTGTGGAGGGCTAAGCTGCTGGTCTGGGTGGGGCTGCTCCTGCGCTGTGGTGAGTAGGAAATGGACCTCTTTACAGTGGACGTGTTTTTTATCCCACTCTAAAAGTGGGCATTTGATCATCTGATTGAAAACTGTATGCACTTGACTTGTATGGTTTCGTGAATGAATGCTATAAACATCTGATTGTGTTAAAATGAATTATTTGTATTCTTTGGATTTATTAAAAAAAATTCCACTATTGAATATTTGCCATTATTCTACTGTATGTGTGAATGTGAATAGTCTGTGTGGTGAGGTTACCATCCAGAAAGTACAAAATGTAATGTGAAAATTGGACGTTCTCCTTATAGCTTGGTTCAATTAAATGCTTTTAGGGAGCTGTGCAACATGCAAAGTAAATCAATAATTGGAGACTTTGGTTTAATAGATCTCATTCTTTAATAACAATTTAATTAATGCAAAAAAGAAAATCAAACTTATAAGTTCCTGCTTGCTTTCTCTGAGTGATCACTGCCTGTAAAAGACATGGTGAATACTGTACTCAGTGTTGAAAATACAGCTCCATTTTCTTTGCAGTGCGCCATGCAGCTCAAAGGCGATAAAGATTTGAATGCTCTGCCATGATGAGAAGTCTTCTGATTAGCATCCGTTTCATGTGTGCCTCATTCAGCAGAAGCCAGAGTGAACACCGAGGCGCAGACCGGGCCTTTGTACCGTGTGTTAGGCACACCGCTCCACATCTCCTGCAACGTCAGCGGTTTCTCCAGTGAAAGTGCGAAACAAGACTTTGAATTCATTCTAAAAAAAACAGATTCACCAGAAATTAACATAATCAGTACCAAAAACCAAGCTTTCAGCTATGCAATTTACGAGAGACGCATCCAAAGCAACGACGTTTCTGTGACGCACGTAAATCCGACCTCAGTCGTCTTTGAGATCAAAAACCTTCTCAGAGATGATGAGGGGGAATTTATATGTAGTGTAATCAATTCAGAATATATTTACGATGGGAGTTACAGCGCTTCAACAGCTGTCAAAGGTAAGCAGCTTTTATTATTCTCCTTATTATTTTCAAACCCAGCGTGTCATTATGTGTGTATTCACTTATCGTAGTGTCTGAGAAAACACACGGTTTTTCATGCTCTCATCGTTCATTTGGTGCTGCAGTGATCGACGACTCCCTCAGTGTTTTGTCTCGGCACCCCACCACGCCACTGAGCTACCACGAAGGCGAAGCTCTCACTCTGACATGCCAAGCCTCCAGCAACACGGTCCAGCACACCCACCTGTCCGTCACCTGGTACCTGCGCAAAGACGGGGAGGCCGAGCCGCAGCCTATCATTTCTCTGGATAAAGATTTCACGCTCGTCCCGGGACCGCTGTTCGAGCAGCGTTACCGAGAAGGACTCATCAGGCTGGATAAATTAGGAGAGGCCACGTACAGATTATCGCTGGCTCAGCTCGAGCAGTCAGACCAAGGAAAGATCTACTGCCAGGCCAAAGAGTGGATTCAAGATCCCGATCGTTCCTGGTACTCAATCATTCAGAAGGATGCGGAGGAAATTCCCCTGACGGTTAAAGCCAGAGGTTAGAGGCAGATGTCTTTTGGTAGATGTCTTTTACCCATACTAAATGGCATATGAGTCATTTCTTCTTCAGAGAGCTATTGTGGTTTCCTGACTGGTTGTGTGTTTCTGTCTCTTTGTCTCACTGTCTTCATTTATTGCAAAGAGGTGGCACCAGACTTGTCGTCTCTGGTGGTGAAAATCTCAACGCCGCAGGCGGCTCTGCAAGAAGGGCAGGAACTGGCGGTGTCTTGCAGCATAGACACGCTGAACCTGGAGGGTCGCTTCTTCTCTGTGGCGTGGCTCCAGGGAGAGATCGAGCTGGCCCGCGTTGGCCCCACGGGCATTCTGACCGTGGGGCCCGAGTACAGTGGTCGTGAGAAAGAAGGAGAGCTCAGAGCCGTGCGCACTGGGACCAGAGATTATCAACTTATCTTAAAGCCTGTCAGAACCGACGACCAGGGACAATATGTCTGCCGAGCCTGGCCTCAAGAGAGAGACAAAGATGGAGTCTTTACGCCGGGGCCAGCTCAGGACTCCGACCCCCAGACAGTTGTCATCTCAGTTGCAGGTTTGTTCAAGCAAACCCACACTTACAGGGACACACTCATCCAATACATCTCTCTTCCAATGCAATCTCTAATAAATTCGATATTGTCATCTTCTGAAATGGAGTAATGTGATCTGTTTGCTGCCTTTTCTCCCCACAGAAAGCAGTCTCTCGGTCAAAATACAAGACAGCGCCCTAAGTGTGATAGAAGGAAGAAGCTTGAAGCTCGCCTGCAAAGTGGACAGGCGTCAGGGTCTGCTCTCAGTCACCTGGCAACTTAAATCTGCGGGCGGATTTCCTCAGGCCGATGTCATCAGTCTGAGTAAGGACGGTGTCATGGAGAGAGCGCCGGCGTTCACGAGCCGTAAAGTCAGAGCGATGCGCCCCGCCGCGGACAGCTTCGTCCTGGAGCTGGACGAGGTCCGGCCGTCTGATTCAGGCGTCTACCAGTGCACTGTGTCCGAATGGAAGTCTGACGTCAAGACACACAGTCAGTCCCAAAATGCAAGTGTGACTGTGAACTCTGTTGGTAAGATACACTTGTGTCTGTCTGTCTGTCATCAGACGATGAATCCGGTCAGTTTGGGTACTGTTGAGAGAATAGCACGTTGTACCTTATATAACATGTGACCCTAAGGCAGAGTGTGGGAATTCCATAAAACCTGAAAATATGTGTGCATTTTCTGTTAATCCATAACAAATCTTGACAATCGGCAGAGAGATTTCCCTTAAATATGATCTATGAAATAAACCGCATTAATAAACACTATATTCTGCAGTGCAGCACTGCTGCTCAGTTAAACTGCATGAAACTGGCACTTGTTCTGTGGTTATTCACAAAAAAGGGATTTACTTTTCCTCTCTTCATGTTTGCATACATTTTGTCGACATCAGTTTGTTTAAATGATAGACGTTTTTGGTGTTCCAGGCTGTATAATCAGGGCAAACAGATAACTGAGAAGTGCAAACTCCTCTAGGTGCTTTTTCTTCATGTGTGTTGGAAAGTGTGTAGGAAGGTGTGTAATATATGTTTCCTTTTTTTGACTGAGGGACAATAAGTGCAAAACTGAGAGAAGAAAAATGGGGAACATGATGTCCTCACGTTGCTTCTCAGTTTAAAAAAAAAAACCTATCGTGCATTATAATAAAATGAGTTGCATTTTTGCCGTAGCTTCACTGGTGAAGGTGTCACTGAAAAGTCGCAATTCCCAAGTGACTGTGGGAGATCCTGTGGAGATGATCTGCCAGATCAGAGGGCCACGCATGCCATTAACTGTGACGTGGAGCGTGAAACAGCCGGACTCAGCCCCCGAAACGATTGTGATGCTGTACTCGGACGGCTCGATCAGCTGGTTTGGAAACAAACACCACTACCAGGTGAAAGTGGAGAACCAGGAAAGTGCCGTGGTTCACTATCTGCAAATTGTACGTGCCAGCCAGAGGGAGAAAGGGATCTACCAGTGCAGCGTGTCAGCCTTTCTAGAGAATATACACAAGAAGCTGTCTCCATCCAACCCCCTGAGTGTGATGGTGCAAAACCGAGGTACAGCAGATTTTTCAATTGCTCCATCTCTGAGGCATTTTAGGGTTGGACCTCTTGTTTGTTCTCTGTTTCTTTCCTTCCTCGCCTATTTAATGACCATTTGTTTTGTTCTTCTTCTAGAGAGCAAGCTTACTTTAGTGGCCAGCCCTGCCGTGACACAGAACACCAACAGCGACGTGCAAATAAAGTGCTCGGTCACGGCAGCCTCCTCTGCGTCTTCGGCCTTTGCTGTGAGCTGGCTGCTCAGGCTGGGTGCAGCCAGCACCACCATCATGAGCTCGGACAGGAATGCTCTTGTTACATTCGGTGACCAGGCAGAACCGAACTACAGACAAAGAGTCAGCATGAGGAGAGCCGAGGGGCCCAATTTTGAGTTGACCATCCGACAAGCTAGAATCTCAGACAGTGGCTTGTACGAGTGCCAGGTGGTGGAGTGGTTACGAGATCCTCATGGAGATTGGTATTCCCTCCCTGTGGCGTCTGCTACAACATCGCTAGCCATCACCGAGCCCAGTAAGATCTTTTGTTTTCAATTAAACATCCCAAGTTATGTAGGACGTCATGTCTATATCTATTCAAAGATATACTGTAGTTCTTTATTTACTGTTTCTCAACCAATCTTGTTCTTGTTCTTCAGCCAACGACCTTCTATTAGACAAAAAAGAGAAGCGTTTGAATGCAAGAGAAGGAGATGAAGTAGAGCTCAGCTGCGACATCATTTCGGGGGCATCTGGTACTTCCTTTTTTTACAAAGCCACATGGTTCTATGCACCGCAGACGTCCCCCACCATCAACAGCTCGCTGGTGAGGCTGGATCACACTGGCCTGCTGAGTTACCCCGAGAACCAGGCGCTCAGAGGCCTGCAGGGGCGGCTTCGCCTCACCAGGCCCAGTCAGAGCAGCTATCGCCTCAGGATCCAGACGGCCCACGAGGAGGACAGTGGGACCTATTGGTGTCAGGTTGAACAATACCAGCCCAACACTGAGGGTCGCTGGCAGCAGAAGGCTTCAGAGAGCTCGGGCCCCACCGTACTGGCTGTGAATGTAACAGGTATGATGCAATATTTAAGAACGGCCCGGGGGCAGATTTTGCTTAGCTGCTGTCTCTGTTACGTGACCACTTCCTCAGGTTATTTGCTGTAAAGTTCACTGGTTGTTCTGTTTTTTTTTTCTCTTTACTGCCTCATTTTGTATGTCACCCTTTTTTTGTCGTTTTTGCAGAGCCTCATAATCTCCCATAACACAAATTTCTCACATGCCTTTTTTTTGTGTCCCTAGAAATATAATCAGGCCTTGATAAGTTTGCTCTATTAAGCTTGAATTTATTCAAATGAAACTTTGCTCTCTTACAGACGTACAGCTGTCCATTAGAAAGGAAGATGTTGAGTTGAACATAAGCAATGCAGAGGGTTTCACCATCCCCTGCGACATTTCCAGACAGTCCAGCAACGAATCCAAGTTCCAAGTCACGTGGTTTTGGCAGAGAAATACAGACAGTAAAAAGCAACCTATATTCACAGCCTACCGAAACTCCACTTTCCAAGCCAAGTTAAAGGAGGATAGTCTAAGATTTGGTCACGCTCTACCCAGACAATTCAGCCTCACAATGTTGAAGCCCGGTCCTGAAAACAGTGGACTTTATTTTTGTGAGGTAGAGGAGTGGCTCCCTTCTCTGACTTACGGATGGAGGAAGGTTGCAATGGAGCAGTCAGGAAACTTGTCCGTCTCGGTTAATACAGAGGGTGAGTATTTGTTTATGCAATTAGCATTTGTTCATGGAAGTCCTGCGAGTTTCTCGATGCTGAAATGAATCTTTTCTCATCTTTTCTTTATTGCAGGTGAAGTTCAACTCTTCAGAGAGTGTACATCTGGCACCTGGATAGTAACAGTCGTAATTCTTGTCATTGTCTCACTCTTAGTTATAACTGTCTTAGTCATAAAGATATACAGGAGCAAGGACTCAGGAGAGAAGAAGTCAGGCTCATCTCTTTGGGCTGAACACCCTCTTACGGCCAAATCCAGTCCGGAAGACTGAACCTCAGTGGGGCGCGTGTTTATCCATGTTAAGCAATATGTGCAAAAGATGTTTACACAGGAAAAAGTTTGACTCAACCTATTTTCAGTCACATTTTTAACTTTGTTTTTATGTCATTTGTCTCAGGAAAAGTTAAGAAGCTGTAAATGTTTTATTCTTTGTAAAGCTGGGAATAGTTCAGCAGCTAGAAATTCATTACATTTCAGCTTTGAGGGAGTTATTGTAAGATCACATTGAGATCAGATCGTTTGTGTCCTTATGCATGCACAGAAATATTCACTCACTCTTCATGTTGCAACATACAAGACATGTTTCAGCTTTGGGAAGTTAAGCTCATAAACTGCCCAGCTTAGTGCATAATGTGGTAAGTTCTGAACTACTCTCCACATTAGTAATATGTATAGATGTGAATCAACCAGGATGTTCTTTGTGGCTTTTTACAGCAGAGGGTTGTGTAGTCTGCAATCTTGTGCTTGTTCACATATACAGACTTTTTCTAAAGTCACGCAATGTTTCTACAAAGACTGTCACTGTCTTCCCTGTCGTGTAGCTTTTGTTGTGTGTTTTGTCATTTGTTGTGTACATTTTTCATTTGCATGGTACCATTTAGCTGTCTGTTTACTTTAGTGTTCCACACATGTCCACAAAGCTGTTGTTTTTTTATGAATTATTCACGTAAAGTAGGATTTGAAAATTGTTTTTGGAAATAAAGGTGGCATTTTCTAAACATTTGTTTCCTTAAAAGAAAGATATCTGAAAATCTTTAAAATAGATTGCATCTCTCTAAAACTTCTCCATGTAAAGGGACTTAGCCTGTTAAATCACAGCTTATAAACTAAATATGGCTTTTAAATGAAGGTATAAATATGAAAAACAAAGAAAGCCATTCCCATACACTTTTCATGTCTCCAAGGTTCAGCCCCATCTAAATCTAACACCACATCTATATAAGAGAATTATTCAGTCTGCTTACTTCAGTAATGACACCAAATAACTCCCAAGTAAGGACTAATTTTCTTTGTTGACCTGCATGTATGAACAACTGAAGGTAAAAACCTGAAGGTGTTTTTGAGTGATGTGAGAGATTTATGCTTTTGCTTTCGTTCTTGAACAATGTGAGCCCTTCACAGCCAGCTGGATCGGCTTTTCCCTGACTGTCCTGTCATGCCACTCCTATTTAGCCTGTGAAGAAAATCTTTTTCAATAACATAAAACCTTCATAGCATCATTAGCTTTGGTTTTGAAAGCAGCACTGTTGCTTTCAGTTCATTGTGACGAGCAGGATTTTAAAGGTTACATTTTTAATCCTTCCCTTTAGGAAACCTACATGCATTTGCCAGTTTAGTGCTGATTTATGGATTCATCTATTCGATGCATAAACATTAACACATATAAGGGACATTCTGGCTGTATGCCAATAGAAAAAGGATTGAGGGATGTCCATACCCAGGTTTACAAACATGGCAGGACATGCTGTCTCCAGGGCTATAGCAAAAGATTGTAAATCAGGACAGTGGGATTCACATGTTAACAAGTACGAAAGATCAGGTATGACAAGATGATCTTGACGATCTGCCCCTTGTGCACTGTGATAGGATTGGACGTAGCAGAAATGGGCAGAGTTGCTCATACTGTGTTCCTTTTGTTATTCAAACCATCATGGGAAAATGAGGACACACCTTGAGCTCCAAGTACAATAAAGGTAGTTCTGAAGTGCTTGGCTGCTGCGTGATGCCAGTCAGACGAGTTTTTGATGCTGCTCCTTTTTCCACACAGTTTTAAGGAAACTTTGTAAATGTATGGTTGAAATAAATAAAAAAACAGAATGAAAGTTGTCAACAACAGAGACAATAATGCTGTTGCAAATAGATCATCACATTTACCATCTGTGTCTAATGTATGTGAATATGGAGTAACATTACAATGTTCCTACACATCTGGGATTAAATTAAGAGGTTTCACTTTAGGAGAAATCCAATGGAGGGGGCATTAAATACAATGCATAACTAAAAACAGTTGTACCTTAGAAAGGTATGCATTTAGTTGTACAGGCTGCTTATGTAGTTCAGAGGCACTCCTGAATGGCACATTGCCAACATTATACTAATCTTCACTTCCTTACAGATAATCTATTGATTTGTGCTGAAGCGCCACCATGAGGTCATTTGTGTGTATTAAGTATTCACCCACTACCATTCATATGTAAGAAAAATTCATGGCAGAATTGTGTAATGTCCATAGACAGATTTCAAACACAGTACTTGTCCCATCTTAAAAATGATCAAATATTTGCTAACTGAATGAGAAACTAGATCCATGGAAACACCAATGCATGCATTTATGGTTGTCAGTGTAATTCTGGAAATTAACAGAAAGATTTGCCACAAACCTGACCATGGGAAGAGAAACGTGTTCCTCCATTGATCCCTCGGTCTCTGTAGTCTATTAGGTTGGGTCAAAATACCAAGACCTGCAAACCACCCAATGAACACTCACATTAGTTCAGAATACGAAATGGCATCATGTTAACAAACGCAGAAAGTGACACATCATACTTAATAAAGTAGCAGGATGGAAGCATTGATATGTTTAGCCACCTACTTCCCTCTTCATCTTCATCTTCATCTTAAACAAATGCCCTCGTTGGATATACATGCTGTGGTATCTGAATACAGCAACACCCTGTAAATAACTAGTCATATGTACATGGCACCATTAAACATACACTGTAAACATTACAAATAATCATACTCAGTCCTTAAACATCCCCCAGGAGAAGAGGATAATGTGTTCTTGCAGAAGTAATGATGCAACATACAGATGAGAGGCACTCAAAGTGCCATATGCAGGAATTATGTAATGTCCCTCCCAGACAGTTAAAGTCTCCCCTGCATCCCAGAGGCACTGCTCCTCTCACCTCAGCTCACAGAATTCATCCGCTTTATGCTCAGCTCCCCTATGGCTCTGCTTTACCTTAGATATTCTTTATTCTTACAAGGATGGGACACACTCCGACTTTGCTGTCTTCAGCTCCTTGTCTGAATGAAACATTAGCCTTTACAGGTCCTGTTCTCCCTGTCTCATCATTTGTCAGCACAAGAGGGAGCTGTTGTCACTGAAAACAACAGAGCTGTCAACTTGGTTACAAGAACTAAGTGCTTCCCAGCTTGACATTGCCGCATCCATCTTGATCTGTTTCCAGATCTTTCTCTATTTAGGTCTTTTGGAGCTGGGATCTTGATGAGGAAGCGTTTGTTAAAGTGCGGGTTCTTAATAAAGTTTTGGCAGATCTCACTCTGTCACGAATCAACCATATTGATGAAATTCAGCTTTCAAGTAAGACAAATGACTTGATTTTTATAAAAGAGGGAAGTGGAAGGCAGCTTTTCGAACCCCTCATGGCCACTTCCAGTATCTGCTTATGCTTTTCGACCTTACTAATGGCTCTGCTGTCTCTATCAGTCTCACAAATGTGGTGCTTTCTACGTTAATCAATGTGTGTGCAGCATCTATCATGAAAAATCTGTCAGAAAACAAGTTTCATTACGTGTATGATGCATAAATGTCCCATTGAAAGTATCTGCTCTTAACGAAATGCGAGTTTGCTCTACAGTTTATTAGAACTCATTCATTGGAATGAAGGCAATAGAGCAGGGTGGCAGAGGAACCAACCCAATCAACCACAGTCAGCTGCAAACATTTAGCAAATGTTTACCTTTAAGTGTGCATGAAGGAAATCGTCTTTTCAACCATTTCACACCACAAACACATACCTTGTTAATTGCAGGTGTTTTAGTTACTGACTATTTTTCAGAAACATGTGAAACATGTTCTGGCCTGGCACTGTCTCACCACAGTTAATGATACAATTGCATTTATTGTAGAAATGTTTATTAGCCATATGTATTATCTATCTGATCTATGGAATTATTAACTTCCTTTATATTCAATAAACTTTCATAGAATAGATACTATAATAAATATCATATTTAGAATGCAGAAGAGAGAGATTTATCTCTTAATATTGTTTTCATGATTCAACAAAAATCAGCACAGGATACGTTTTGGAGCTGTCACCAGCTGTCCTGCTCTTGCCAGATGTGTTTTTTGTGTTTACATATGTTGTGTTTCTGAGGTAATTCCCCAAACTTTAACATTGTGAGATCTGGTTGAATCTTGGAATTACTAACACCTGTGTTCTTTCAATCACGCACAGTCCCTCAATTTTTCCAACTTTCCACCCAAAGGGACTTGAACGTATGGCCTCAAAGACTACTTGCAAAACTGCTGACAGTTGTTGTTGCCTGGTTGTCCACCTCTGAGACTGCAGCACCTGGTAGAGTTTTTCTTTTGTTTACAGGCACTTCTGTACCTCAGATGTACTGATACTTCAGACTGCAACAGAAAATGTATTTCCTTTACCAGTAGGTGGCTCTGTGTCACTGAGCAAGTTCACTGGCAGAAGAGAAGCATGATGCCATGTCAGTGATGTATGTGCTATGTTGCTGAGATCTTTTCTCCATCCCCTGTGCTTCTACAGCATAACAGAGACGAAGACTTTGAAATAAGAATTACGTAAACGATGCAATATTAAGCAATATGATGTGTCTTTCTCTGTCAGGGGTGCTTTAAACAAGGTTCTTCTCAACATACTTTAATACACTTGGACAAAATGAATACCAAAGGTGTTTTATCTATGATTCTTGTTGTGATAATGTTACTCACTCGATGGTGCACGTACATGTGCTATCACTGAAACCTTTAATCATGTTTGCATTTTGTTGTGTCTCCCCAACCGAACATACCAAAACACAAGATTTTAATATCAACACAACATGAAGCACGAACTGATTCCTGTGTCAGAGTTAATAAAATCAGGGTAGGGTTGTTTTTTGGGGCTTTTTTCCATATTTGTTTTTATTATTTGTGCTTTTGTGTTTATTTAGTCAGTGGGTGGTTGACTACAGCAATGATTCCTAACTGATTCTTGATTGAGCATATCTCGTCTTTGTTATTTTGTCTCACCTATTCTCCAGAGGCCGCCCTGCCTAACAAGACAGCAAAGACATTTTCATCCCACTGACAAACAAGGAATAGATTTGTCATTTTGGCGTTAATGCAACATTTTCTCCAGAGATGATGAAATAATAACATTCGTACTCTCCGTGTTTCTTGCAGGGGCTTTTACTATGAGATTGTTGCCATCCTGTTTGGCAAGCCTTGCAGACACTCTGCGTTATCATCTACACATTAGAGTCTTGGAGAAATTCTAAGTGATTTATAACAAAGGCATAGTTCTGACAGCATGATTATCGTGTGCGCGAATAACAGATGACATGAATCAAGCATCACTAAAGACGCCAAAGCAACGTGAAGCCTGAGCTGCCATCTCCAGCAGAAGTTTTTAAATGAACTGTGACTTCTGACTGGAGCTGCTGATGTGAACTCTCACAGGCAGAAAAATGCTGGGGAGGGAAAACAGTTGTTAAGCTGCTTCAGCGCAGTTTGTGTTTAGTTTGATATTATCTTGTTTTGTTACCGACAGAGCCGTTGCCGCCAAGAGGCCTCTTAGCAAAGTGATAGGGCGGAGGAGAAAATGTCAACTTTCTCTGGGATCTGGAGACAGGTCAACAAACACACCTATCTGGGGACTTGATCGGCAGAGGCCATCCAAGTAGCTGATTGGCAAGTCCGGCTTTCCTCATGACCATTTGCTAGCACGGACTCAC